TTCTGGTGAAACAGCCTTGGAGTCAAGATTTCACCCATATTCTCTCTAAGGAACATCAAAGAAGTAAAGACTGAATCCATCACTCTTTCTTCCCAAACTTTAGCAGTGGTTTCAAAGTGTATATGGTTTTAATTCTTCACTTGTTGCACTCCTCTAGTGCACAGCATTCCTGCACACTATTAGAAAGCAGTTGGTTTCTACCCCAGAAGTGGCTGCAGTTCTCTTCTGGCTGAATCAGCGTCATTGCAAAGGTGATGGATCATGTGGGGGCTTCTTTGGCTGGCTGGTTTGGCGCATGTCTTGTGACACTGAAGGAGCCAGTTGCTACGAACTGGAAATGTTGCAGGGAGGTCTCAGGCTTAGCCAATTCTCTGCCACTCCTGGCACACTGAGTCCTGTGAACTTAATACAGCATTTTAGTGAAGCCTTTACCCTCCACCTCCTCCCCACATCCCACATGCTGTTTGGAGTTCTCTTTGGCTCCAGGGAACCACCTGCCTCTGCCCTTTCCACACCCATGGATGAAAGCAGCAGAAGACAGGAGGAGAGTTATTTATGAGTTTTGCTAAATTAAAATCAAAGCCAAGAGGTGCAAGAGCCCTGAGACTATTGTTTCATTTTGGCCTCTTCTATTTTTTCCAAATAAGGGCTCTTCAGAAAGAAGAACACAAACTCCCAGATTTAACACATAATCTGCCCTGAGGACATGAATAGAGCTTCGTAACACAGAGGACATTCAAAGTGCAGCCCAAACAATAAATAAGGGTGGCAGAGCCTTGTTTGTGCTCGAAGCACTATTGGAGGGTACAGAAAGGACTCGAGATTCTGGGTATGGGCACACAAATAAGTTACTGTGAGAGAAGCACCTCACCTAACCTCTACCAACTGCCTCTGGCTACATGCTTCCTGTACTTTGAGGGGATGTAAAACAAAGGAGGTAAAACTAGCTCATAAAAACTAGTTTTCAGCCTAAATGATGAGGAACAAAATGGAGGAACCAGTTCCTTCAGAAAATTTAACCGAGGTTCAAAGGGGTTTCTGCTGGAGGCAGATACATTCACTGAAGTTGAGGGTTTCATTTAAAAGATTTTTTTTCATTTGAGGGCATGGGCATCTGAATAAGTTGCCATGAGACAAGGTTGAATGCATGTCCTTTCCCCACAGTAAATGCAAAAACAGTCCAAAAGAACTACTCTGCTCTGTGGCCCCCATTTATGTTGGGGGCTATGTTGGCTGGCTATGTCTACTTGGATGAGTGTTACATATCCAGGACTGAGCCTTCCTGTGTCGTTGGTAGCCCAGATACAGCCTTCCCTTTCAGGCTTAGGCTATGCCTTCTTCAGCCATTGATAACGCACTGTGCTGCTGATAAAACTCTTCACAATCAGTGGCTTCTGTGTTCAGGACTTTGTACATAAGAAACTAAATTACACTAACAGCCAAGGGTCAGAAGGAAGAAACCGGTCTATGTATTCCTATCCATGCAAGCTGTAGCACCCAGTAATACTAGCCCACTCTTGCTGCTCCGTGCTTTCTTCCTAACACTCATTACCATCTCTTCTAGACATGCACTGAGCCATGGACACCTGTGCCTTCTCTACCTGAAGTGCTTCAACTACCTGAAGGGTGGTTACAAAGAGGATGGAGCTGGACTGTTCTCAGTGGTGGTAGATGATAGAACAAGGAGCAATGGTCTCAGGTTGCAGCAAGAGAAGCTTGGGTTGGATATTAAGAAGAACTTTCTCACCAGAAGGGTGGTGAAGCACTGGAATGGGTCACCTAGACAGGTGGTGGACTCTGCGTACTCATGCATTAGTAGGTGCATCACAAACAGGTCCAGGGAGGTGATGCTCTTCCTCTATGCAGTACTGGTCAGGCCACAGCTGGAGTCTTGTGTCCAGTTCTTTTTTGAAGTTAGGGTTGCCATGGACTGGGCTTCCAAGCGAGGTGGTGCTCTCCCCTACCTCGGGGGTCTTCAATAGGAGATTGGACAAACACCTGGCTGGGGTCACATGACCCCAGCACTTTTTCCTGCCATGGCAGGGCATCGGACTTAATCCACTGAGGTCCCTTTTGACCCTAGCATCTATGAATCCAGAAATCTATGAATCCTTGGATGTTTTAAAGCCACAGATTTGACAAAGCCCTGGCTGGAATGATCTAACAGGGGATGGTCCTGCTCTGAGCAGGGGATTGGACTAGATGACCTCCTGAGGTCCCTTTCTCCTGTCCCTATAGGCACCCTGTCTTCTACTCCTCAGTTTTGATGAAAAGCTTACGTTTCTGCTCCATGAGGCATCACAAACATGATTATACAGGAGGTCTCTGAACTCCTGTTTCCAGTGGAGAGGTACTTTTTGTTTTACAGAAGGTTTTCTACATATTAAACTAAACTTCCTGCACAAAAAATAGTTTAGCATAGTAAAAATTAGAGTTGATCCATCAAGGTCAACAGAAATAAGGAGAGAAAAACAATAGATGCAGGCCAGAGGGAAAGAGACTGAGACTAGCATAGTGTGACCATTTATAAGTACAAGGGATTTGCAACTGTAGGGGTCATTTCAAGGAACCCTGGAGGTAGAATGAGAGCCAGTGATGTGAAGCTAACACAAGAAAAACCTAGTTTAAATAGCTGGCCAACACTCAGGCCATCTCCCACACCTGCAACAAGTGTGTTCACTTGCCCATATACATATTCTTTAATAGCTCTGATGCACACATGTACTTGCTAATCATTGCATTTGTTGGAACACACATATGCTCTTACAGTATCTTATTGTAAACATTAACGATGTAAGGGCATTTTAAGTTAAAAGGGGTGGAGTCCAAGGGACTTACATAGCTGGGGCTGAGAGGAAATTGGGAAGCATTATTACTCTGCTACTTAGAAGATTGGTCAGGTGCATTTTTCCTCAACACCAGAGCCACAGCTATAACTTAGAAATACACAAAAAGCCTCACCTTCAGATGGCTTCTCTCTGCTTGTATGTAAAATGTCTGAACCTTCCTTGCCTTATCTAAATCATTGAGTTAGTACTTTCTGGTTGTGGGGCTGTATTTTCAAAGCCTTTTTCAGCCATTTGCCAATTCTCTTGCTCAGTTCAGGCCATGTGTCCTGTTAGCTCTGCCCATAGATGATGCTCCCTGGCGTGGTAACCACATTCCTTGTTTGTAATGCAAGACAGAGATACTTGGAAACAGAATTCAGGCCATGATCAAATATTGAAGGTGGCTTCTCAGACCCGTCTACCTCCATTTATGCAGTAAGACTCCTTCCTATCTGAGGGAATATGCAGGGATTGTTTATGGTTGCCCCGAACAGGTCAGAAAAGGAGAAATACAGGATCTCAGTCCACCATGCAGCTAGAGACTAGCATCTCATTGCAATATGCCAATTTGAATGTTCTAATCAATGGTCTGCTTTAGTAAGGAAAGCTGACTTGGAGTTTTTCTTTGTAGAGCTCAGTGGGGTAAGCTATGCCTGAGGGGCACCTTGGCTAATGGAGAGACTGCCCTCTATAAACAAAGTTAAGGAGGAAATTACCAGAGTTTGAGAACAGGCACAGAGCAGAAATGCATTTGAGACTCACTGAAGCTCAGGATCCAACGTTCAGGCACTGGCGGATCTGAGGCTGTAGGTCAGGCCCAAACCTAGTTATGAACTTTCATGGATGGGACTAAAGCACTTGAATAAAGAAAGCCTGGTCGCTGGAGGGGAGGCCCCTGGGGGGAGGGATCTGTTTCATGCACCCTCTTATTCTTGCTTCTTTTTATGGGAGCTATTTGAACCAAATGCCTCCTGAACAGCTCATGACAACTGAAGCAGAGCAGAGCAGAGATTCCTTGGTGTGGATGAAGAGTGGCATCGGAGTTTGGACACCCTATAAATTGAGTCAAAGCTGTTGATTTTGGCTGAGTTCTAGATGATGCTATTAGTGCAGTCTTCTCTGCTCCCTTAACACATGCTCTGCTAACCGGTACATGTCAGCTTGGTCTGCTTGGGAAATGGGAGCACAGAATTCACCAGGGGCTTCTCCTGCATTCAGTTACATTTCAAATGCTTGGTTGTTTATGTAATGTTGCAAGAAACCCATGAGGTTGAGAAATGATTTATGGATTAATTTAGGAATTATGTCCAAGGCAATAATGGGGTGGAATTTAAGAGAGACGAAAGAATTTAAGAGAAAAAAAGACCAGGAGGAAACAAATGCTTCCTGAGCAATGGATCATTTTTCTCTGGGAACTGGTGGATGCCCCAGCATTGAGGCACTGAAGGGTAATGCCTGACTACAAGTGCAAATAAGGAACAATAGCTCTGCATTGTAGGATGCTGGATTACTGTCTCTACTTTTAGTATTTCCAACCCATTTCACTGTATGCAAATACTTTAGAAATTTCCTGAGGTCTGGCTTAAAACACCATAAGGACACTACAGCTAGGGACTGACATTACACATAAACTGGTATAATAGGAAACCAGTTTAAGTCTGTAACGCAACAGAAGTTCATTGCACATAAACCACTTGCAAAATGGGCAAAACTAGTTTAAGATAAACCTGGATGAATGCAGTATCAGATTTAATTGATTTAGGTTAAACTGGCTTATTGAATTTCTGTCTGAGATCCCCTCCAGATTCAAGTTAACTCACAGTCTCCCAACATCGCAGGATGCTTTGTACCTCCCCTGTGACCACCCCTTGCAAGACGGGCAGGTTGAGTCTTGGCCCAAGCTTTCTGCTCCAGCCAATCATGGAAGCATGCTCCAGCACCACCTGGCTTCCAGCCTGAAGTGCTGCAGGCATGTAGCTGCATTTCTGGACTCAAAAGTGAAGGTCTGTTCACCTGCTTATCAGTTCAATCTATGCAGTTTAAACTAATCTGTGATGATTGAATCAATTCAGTCTTTGGCTCTTTGACTGTCCGTACTTACCCTTAAACTTTAAAATAAAGCTTGTGTAATCGACAATAAAAATAAATAAATAAAAGGAGAGCACAGAAATGCTGAAACACACATCCTGGATTTTTACTTCATGGAAACTTCATAACCATTACAGCTAACATAAACTTTTACAAAGCAAACTGGATCAGGCAGCTGATGGCACATGGTGCTTTGACACTCAGTACAGCACTGCAAGTGTCCAGGTGACTTCTATAAGCTCAGGTCCTGGTCACAGGCATGAAATGTTTCCCCAAAAAAATCACAGAAGAACATCTTACATACTGATTTACAAGTGAATGCACAGTCCCCAAACATTCACTTGTGCTAATGGCAGGGGAAAAAAAAGAGCACAGCCGCAAGACAAATAAACTGAAATGGATGCCATTGTGTATGTTTCCAATTAACTGCCGTCTTCTCTCGTTTAGAATTTCGGAAATTTGGCAACCAAGCCTCTTTCTCTGCTGATTTTGTTCTCTGTTCCAGGTCCATTGACAAATACTAGTCCCTCTTCAGTTACACCCCCTCAAGTATCTGGTGCCAGAAAAATGAACTGGGAACAAGTTGCTTTACTTCCTTTTTTGCCCCTCAGCATTGTCTGTGTTGGGAAGTGTTGGCCATATTTTCAAATGGCGCTACGAATTCTGGGAGTCTCTACTTCCTTGGGCCTAATATTAAACTATTATGAGCCTTGTTTTTTATGTGCAGCATCTACATCTCTCTTTGATATTAATAAAAGTGTGGGTGCTTATAACATTACTGAAAATCCAGACCTGAAGTGTTTCATTCACCTGTACCCATGCTCAAAGGATGAGGGTTGAAGTGGCATGAGTGATAAGGTGCGTGGCTCACAGCCTAGAGGTTACATGTTTGAGGCCATAGTAGAAGCACTCATGTCATGGCTTATCAGATTCCAATAAATCTGCAAATTCTGGTAAATATCTTGGCACCAGGACATGAGAAAGGAAAGGGACTTACAGGATACCTCAAGAAATTTTGGCTTCAGTAACATCTGTCAACAAACCAATAAAGGGCGCTCACCTGTTGTCTTTTGAAGCAGTCACCCCAAAGCGGTGGCAATGACTCCCCTCCTCAATGAGAGATTCAGAGCCAAAGTCATGCCTGACTTAAGAAGGTGCCATTCCACTGATATCAACTGCAATTGGTTTACAGACAGCAGACCGGATTTCCCACTAAGAGTAGAGTAATTCTGATCTAGATAAAAGCCCTTGACTTCATCCCTCCTATGCCCACCAGCTTCCCATTTCTGCTAGATAGTCTGGCGTCATTTTTTCTGTGTGGATTTGTAATAACTTGATTCAAACAGAACCTGCTCCATTCCCTTGGCATTGAGAGTGCTTTTCTTCAAAGAATGAGCCAAGCTGATCACAATTTAAAAACACCAGCACACTGATGTACCTAACGCAATACTGCTGTTTACATCATATTTTTCTGCCACTTTTTATAAGCACGTATATACAGGACTGCCAGCTGAGAGCATGGAACTGCAGCCACAGGGAGCAGCCGCACCATTCACACGCCACTGCAGTACCTGGTAAAGGCCAGAATGACATTCAGTAATGACGCAGCATTGTATACTAGATGCACAACAAGACAGGCAGCAAGGACAGCAGTCAAAGGAACAACAATTTGCACACACTTTGGCAAATCAGAGTTTGCACCCCAGTCACAGCTGAAGCATACACCAAGGATGTTTGCTTTGGTTCCAAACCATCACCCTTGCAAAAGGGTGTTTGTTATAACATGGAACTTCTAATTAACAGGCTAGCAGTTTCTGGGAATGATTAGAAAACACTCACAGGACATGAGGACAGTAGCTGGTGATGGGGAAGGTGCTTCAGCCCATGGGGGGAGTTGGAAGCCGCTTATTGGGCAATTCTATTTAAGTACCGTATCATGGGATCATCACTGGCTTTCAGTGGAACCATGACATGGATCTACATCATTAACAGAGGTGCAAGCAATAGCCACAGTTAAGGGAAACATATCTCCCTTACAGATTAAGAGTGCAATATAACAGCAGCTGCTGCTGTGGAGAAAAGGTCTGAGGCAAATACCCAGACACACGGGTGCTTCTCAGGAATGTTGTTCCCAGTCCAGTGAGTCTAATCCTCCAGGTTCTGGCAAAGTAAAATAGAAACAGGACTGATACTCTCCTTGCATCTGCGTAGCCTGGTGAAGAAGTTTAATGAGAGCAGAATAAAGATGGATGCATGGAGCAAAAGGGCCTGGCATTTTTCAGCTTCAAGAGACTGTGACCAAGCTGGTACTTTTTGGAAAAACACTTACTTTAAATACTCAGAAAGACACCAGGCACAGCTATGTTTACTAACACACATGGTAGCTGCCTCTGCAGTACAGGGGCATGCTGTGGGGTAGCGATGGGTAACAGGAGTGCCCTTAATGCTGGGCATGAAACCCCATCCTTAGCACTAGCAGTGTTCTCATTAATACACACTGCATCGTTAACCATTGGAACAACACAACAGAACTGACTCAGGAATGAAAACAGGCTTTCTTGAAAATGGTGCGTCATAGCAAGTAGTTTCTGACAATAAGATGGTCCAGTTCAAACTTCAGACCACTCCGTCCTGGTACTCAAGCTCTGCGAATCTGTAGCTTGCTTTTTGGCTGCAAGTCCATTTGAGCTGAAAGTCCTTCCAGGGCAAAACTGTTAAAGGGTCAGGGTGCAGACAACACCCAGAGTTCTCTGCTATTCCTTTTA